ACTTTCTGAAGCATACCTGCATGTCAGAGGCAACTTTATCATGTCTGCTAGTGCCCAATCCATATAAAAGATGGAGTTAAAGAACTACATAAAAGCAGATACTTACAGGTTTGGGCAAACAGTGTGATTATATCCACAGTATTCCCAATAAGATATATCATTAGCCCAACCATCCTATGTATTGGAATAAACAAACATAAGAGCATTGGTAAAATGAGAAACTGATGTACAAATGAGCATATGCATCTGGAAATGCATCCATAAGTGTAAAAGTACAGATGCATCCTCAACTTGAACCAACTGAGAAAAAGAACAGGAATAGAAAAGTTAAGAGAAACCAATTCGTAGTGCAACATATGCTTTGCTAGTGCTTAGATTGTACATGCAGAATGAATCAAACTCATAAGGATTTAGGACACTTGAGGGTTATGGCTTATATTTCCCCAAGAAGCATCAGCATTTGGTTGTTATATCTTGAAACCCAGCAGTGCCTCTCTGCAAACTGTAACTGCAATTTTGCTTGATTTAAATAAAAAGGGAAAAAGAAAGCTTACTGTAATATTCTTTTCAATTGCTTGAATCATTGTCCTAAGATCTGAGCCATAGAATGTCTTCAAGGCAGAATCTATGATCATGCTATCCCACACCTGGAATATGTTAATAATATTAAATTTGGCAAATAATTTAGGAAAGAAGAAAAGCAAACAGAGAAAGACTGATCTAAGTTCAGTTCGAGGTATGTGATAAAATTCTAAGGAGGGATCTATTGATTGTGAAATATTTATGCCCCCGTTATCTCATGTCACTAAACTCATGTCTCATATCTATTCTTATACTCCTACTTTCTAACAGATATTTTGTCATCTCATATCTTTTATTCGCATCACAGTCTTCTTCTTACCCACTGCTTTCTTATACCCCTACTTTCACTTCTTGACCTTCTCATGTCTGTCAACCAGTCACTATCACATCAGAATCTAAAATTCATGCATCCTGATGTTAGATACAGAACATGGGACTGTTGTTTGTTGAGGTTTTAACTGGTCATATATTGGGTATAAAACAGGCAGATTACTAGTGCATATTTACAATTGCTCCAAGATTAGGCTACTGCTTGTCAGCAAAGTAGTGGAGGAGTAAGGGGAGGGGGGCTGAGGGGGAAGCAACCATCACGTAAGAGGACTATGAAATGCTTACATGGTGTAGATTTGTCTTCCTACGATACCAACGGACTATTATTGCGTTCCCACCTTCATCACCAGTGAAACCAACATGTAAAGGCTGTCATTTAAAAAAGTCAGAATGGAACATATACACTATTATCCAAAGAGAAATTTTTACATAGAGTTTGCATTTTGGGTATTCAATCAAATAACAAAGAGATCATTAGTAAAATCAATGAATCTAAACCTAGTCTAACTTGCATCAATCTTTTTTTTTTTTTAACCTTCTAGAACTCAATGAAAAAAAAATGGTAAGCCACAAAAATCATATCTATGCAATTACCGTCGGTTATTATATACAATGACAATTGAACATATCCCTATGAATGAGATAGAAAAGTAAATTATTTATCAAAACTAATCGTTACTACTGCCTTTTGAGTTTGGAGGGACACTAGGAAGGGCAAACCTGATGGACATCACCAATAAAATGTGATAAGAACATAAGTGCCTCCGTCAAATTGTCTGACATCAATGGAAGAAAAGCTCCATTATTCAACTTATTATCAGTAGTATGTGCAAGTGCCACTCCAGAGGCATAATAACACTTACATTTCAACTCTGAATTGGAGTCTTGATAAAATGAAACAAGTTGCTTTGTATAGTTGTAAATTGCTCCAGTGACACAGATATCTTTATGTCCAGCAGAGTCATGGCAGTCTCCTGGAACAATGCTGGAGTACATTATAAAGATGGTAACAATTTATGGAAATATGCAACTCATGGATATCACTAAGAAACATTGAAAGAAAAAATCAAACAAGCAAAGTCAAGGTTAGCAGAATCAATCATAGAAAAGAAGCAACACTGTCAAACTTACTGCAATAATCATAGTTACACTTGAAATCTGGGGTGTCAACATAATGTAAAGGGCTACTCCACCGCCACTGGTGGTACCACTTTATCTCATCAGGCCAGGAGCATACAGCTGCCAGTTCACCTTCAGCAGACTCAGGAAGTAAATCTTTTACTGCAGCTAATGCATCTTCATTAAGATATCCCTTAACGATCAAGAACACCCTTGTCAGATTAAATTAGCAACTCTTCTGACTTTACTCTCAAATTCATTCTCCATCTTGTCAGTATTATCAATAACTATAACTAAAAATGAAAGGTAATGCAAATTCATTAAGCCAACAATCAGTCCGCAAAGACTATGATCTCGTAGGTAACTGTTTTGGGTTCTTGGTATGATCCGATTCACCAAAATTTTCACTGAATCCATTAAAATACTCAGCATTATATTAGTCACAGACAAAGCATGAAACTGAAAATAGGTTCTCACCTCTGCTATTTTGCAAACAGCATAGTGACCTTCATGTCCCCAGCCAAGGACCCCATGAACTAATTGCAAAAGAAAAAGTACTCTTGAAGTCCACAGGAGCGGATGCCCAACCATCTCAGCTAACATTCACCTTGAGAATTCGACCAATTTCTATTAAGCTCGAAAAAGTAAAACTTTTAGTTGGCTTAATACAAAGATTTCCTATTTCATGTTGGCCCTCTGTTTGATCAATTCGAATGTCTAGAAAGACAAGGAAAAACCCAATCTCGAGTCAAAAAAACTCAAAAGGGGTAAGCTTTCTATTAAAATAATGTTAAATTTCTTGCCTTTTCCAGCTAAAGTTTTCTCATTGACAAAAAAGAAAACTAAAATTTTCTCAGGAACCAAACATAATCATTGATACCTGGTCTTAAGCTGCGGGAAGGTGAAACTCAGGTTTTCGTTGAGACTTAAGGCGCCTTGCTCCTGATGGACTGAACTGCAAAGGAATTTTTTTTTTTAAGGCAAATTTGACATTTGATGACCACCTTTTAGTTCTGATTTCAGTACAAATTAAAAGCAAACCTCAATTTATATTTTGGCTATCATTTTCTCCAACATTTTCCTTTTTTTTTTATCCTAACCAATTGCATTATTCATATATACTACTAATGTGTTACTAATAAAACTACACACAGTAGGGTTCAAAAAAAAAAAATACTATCATTTTTAATAAATTTAGTTTGATTTTTTAATTTTTTAAATATAAATTTTAGATGAAAATTTAACATATTATATAAATGATAATTAAATTTTTTTTCCCAACTTAAAGTACCCACAAGACCTTCATATAAAAAGAAAAAAAATTTAATTATTATTTATATAAACTATTAAAATTTTATTTATTTATATAAAAAATAAAAAATTAAATTAAATCTACTAAAAATGAAATTAAAAAAATACACATAATAGATAAAAAAAAATTTAAAACCATACCTAATAAAGCATTTTTAAAAAATAAGGAATTAGACAGAGTCAATTGGTGGAGGACTTACAAATTGAGACTCCACAATATTAAAATATTAGGTTATATACTTGTAGATGGATTTTTTTTAAATGTTTTTTTATAGAGTTTTTTTGTTTTATAGTCTAGATTATAAAATATAAGCAATTAGATGAGGAGAGCCTTTAATATTAGAGACTCATATCCATGTAACAATTATAGTTGTACAATTTAGTATAATTTAGATTGTACAACAATTTTTTTTTATTTTCTTAATTTATATCATTTTATGTAGTATACTTAGGTGATTAAAATGGTATTGTCTTTGTATAAATATTATGAGAAGAGAAGCTTTTCTTGATTTCTGTATTGTAAAGAGTTTGTTTAAACTTTTGAGAAGGTTCTAGATTATTGTTTTATAAGAAAATCCCACAAAAGAAATTTTTGGGGTTTTTGTGATCTTAATATAAGATATATCTCTTCAAATATTATCAAATAGTTTTTAACTAGATATCTTTCTATGGATGAATAACTCATTATACAGATAGTTTTAAAGTATATTATAGTTTATTGACAATAATAATGAAAATATATGTAAACACAACTGGTTTTAGAGTATATTATAATTTCATTGTAGTGACAATGAAAAAAATATTTGAACATGGTTTTAGAACATATTAATATTTATGATAATAAGTTTCCACCGCTACACACGAGTTTTAATGATTGAAAATTTTATTTGTGACAAATTGTAAAATTTTAAAATAAAATATTATTTTGCTTAAATTATTCATAACATTACTTTGTATAAGTCTTACTACCATCTTAATAAAATCTAATGAAGTATTTTAAGTGGTTAAGATTTTAAGATTTTAATCGCAATTACATACTTTAAAACAAATAAAGAAAGATTAAGGGGAAAAAATGGTTATAACAATATATATCTCATGTTGTATAGTTTATACTAAAAAAAAAAAAAAACTATTTTAATAATTTCTAAGAATTAGTTGACACCTAAGCACTTAAGCAATGTTATAATTACAATAACAAAACAAATTATTAATATATAATCATTATGTGATGTTAAATGAGTGTAATGTATTATTAAATGAATGAATATATAATATTATAATAAATTTTTGAATAAAAATTATAAATTTATATCATATTTTAAGTTTATAATATTGTATAATATTGTAATTATATTTCGTTAGTTTAAATTTCAATTGTAAAGGAAAGAAAAAAAGAAAAAAAACTATTATGATTGTTTTCCATTAGGTAAGTTAAAAATTAAAAAAAAAAATTATTATGTAAAAGATGTACCAACTACCAACAAAAATACTGCCACAAAAAAAAAAAAAAAAGGAAAAAGAAAGAAACTACCAACAAAAATATGAACTCATTTAAAGAAAACGAAAAATTGCTGACCATATCAGGACAATGTATAACTAGCTGAAAAATTGCTTACCATACCAGGACAACAAAAATTGCTCTTTTTTTTTCTTTGGGCCAAGAAAATCGCTACTGTTCTCCTTTCACTTATGTTCAACTTAAACTTGGACCCAGGGCTGTACTGAACTTATAATTATCCAGAAAAAGCTAACCGGACTGGGCCCAACTACGGTCGTTCCGTACCTTAAAGAAAAAAAAATCCACCACCTTAAGAGTTGTTTATATATATATATAACTTTTACATATTAAATAAGTAAATATATTTAATATTATGAGTTTTAAATGAATCAAAATAATCAATTATTTAAATGAAATGCCTAATTACATTAAAAAGTGATATAAAAAAATTCTTTCTAAATCATTTTCCCTTGGTGTTTACCTAGTTCTTGTTTATTTTGGTTATTAAGAATATTTTATAAGTGATAAAATAGCTGATATTTATTATTCAACTCTTTGAAGTCATTAAATAAAAATAAATCATTTTAACTTATGCCTTTAAACATAAATTAAGGATATAATTAATACATTTTTTTATATTAATTGAAATAAAAAATAATAAAAGTTGATATTAATTTCACCACTAATGTTATATGAATTATTTTAATTAAATAAAAGTTAATTTTTATTTTTTAATAATAATTAATGTTAAAAAAAAGTGTCCTTAGGGCATAGAAAAACCTAACAAAAAATATTTTTAAATGCCCTAACCTAACTAGTTGTTTTAAAGAAAAAAGAGTTATTAATCAATAAAATTAGTTATACTAAACACAATATTAGTATTATAATAAGATTATAGTACAAAGTAGATATTTTGTCTCAAATTTTTACCAAAGTTCTTCACATGCCTTTTTGAGGTAAAAACTCTCTCAAGCTTTCTCTTACAAGGACCTAGTCAGTGACCAGTTTTTTTCAAGAAATAAGAAAAATAATTTCATCTAATATAATAAAACTAAAAATTTCAACAAAACTTTCTTATGAAAATTATCAATTTCTTGCTGCTTGCTTGTACACAAACAGTTACTAGATAAATAGAATTCACCTAAAATTTAGCAATTTTCTAATACCACCAAAAGAAGTCATGGAGAAGAATAAAGACCCATTCGTGTATATAAAAAGGACCCTGATTGATGCACACTCGGATCCAACACCCGGGTGTGCACTCCCATATAAAAAAAAAAGGGTGGACCGGGTGGGGATGGGGTTTTTTTTTTTTCAATGAGGAGTGTGCACACCCAGGTGTTGACCCGGGTGTGCACACATCATTTTCCATATAAAAAATAGCAAACAGACCACAGTCCAAATTGGAAATTATTATTTGATCGGAACTTAGTTGTTTTTGCCTTAAAAAAATACTCCAACTTGCATAAATTATTCCCACCTCCGGCATAGTTTATTGCTAATGACGTAGCAGGTGGCCTAAAAGATTGTACTTTTTTATTGAAATTCCATCTTCTTATACGTCATTGATGACCAATTTAATTTTTTCCTACCCATCTGAGATGGAATGGAAGCCCTGAAGGTTTAAGAAGATTTGATGACCATAATTGTCCCAATACAAACTACGTATAAGTTTGATTTAGTTAAAAAAAGAGAGAAGATGGACAATAAAGTGAAAGTGCTATATCAAAATACTGAAGGGCAATGAAGGCTATTGTCATAAGAGCTCCAGGTGATTCAGATGTGTTGAAGCTACAAGAAGTGGAAGAACCCAAAATTAAAGAAGATGAGGTACTTATCAAAGTTGAGGCTGCAGCACTGAACCGCAGCGATATCTACGAAAGAGAAGGCTCCTATCCCTCACCAGAAGGTGTCAGTCCATATCCAGGTCTTGAATGCTCAGGCACCATTGAATCTGTTGGAGAAAATGTTTCCAGGTGGAAAGTTGGTGACAAGGTGTGTGCCCTTCTGAGTGGAGGAGGGTATGCTGAGAAAGTGGCAGTCCCATCCGGACAACTTCTTCCTGTCCCAGCTGGTGTTTCTCTGAAGGATGCTGCCTCATTTCCTGAGGTGGCATGCACAGTCTGGTCTACCATTTTAATGAGGAGCCGGCTATCTGCTGGTGAAACACTTCTCGTATAATTAATTTTCTGATGCCATATGCAATCTATTTGAAAATTATGCCTTCAAATATTGCCAATGCAACAGAAAACATGCATCTAATTGTGCAGATTCATGAGGGTTCTAGTGGAATCGGTGTATTTGCCATTCAAATAGCAAAGCAATTTGGGGCAACTGTGCTTGTCACAGCAGGTCTAGCTCTAGCTCTAGCCCCACCTTTTGTCCTATCTTCCAAAATTTGTTTCCGTGTATTCATCTAGTTTAATTTTGCCAGGCAGTGAAGAAAAACTAGCTTTCTGCAAGGATCTTGGAGCTGATGTCTGCATCAATTACAAGACTGAGGACTTTGTCACACGGATAGAGGAAGAAACAGGCGGCAGAGGTACATATATCTTCACTACTCTTAGGCAATATGACAGTCTGATATACAGTACATAAGAATGTTTGGTGATGGCAGGTGTTGATGTTATTCTGGATTGTGTGGGAGCAGCCTACCTTCAGAAAAATCTTAATAGCTTGAATCTTGATGGGAGACTCTTTATGATTGGACTTATGGATTGATTCGTTACAGAGGTAAACCTGGGAGTTTTCTTCGCAAAGCGCCTCACAATTCAAGGTACTTGAGGAAAAAAAAATCCCATCTTCATAAATGTCCTAAAGTTTCTGAGTTGTATGATTAATAATAAAGAAATTGCATTGGCATATTAGTGAAACATATACCTTGTTTTGGTGGTTGGACATGTAGGGGCAACGTTGCGAAACAGAACTCTAGAAGAGAAAGCAGTGATTGTCAAGGAGGTTGAGAAGAATGTGTGGCCTGTAATTGTGGAAGGCAAGGTGAAGCCTGTGGTGTGCAAGCACTTTCCCCTGGTAGAAGCAGCAGAGGCTCACCGCCATATGGAAAGTAGCAAACATGTAGGGAAGATACTGCTTCTTCCTTGATGCTGTTGAGAAAATAACCCGCTTGTCCTCCAGTTTTTGGTTTTCATTGTCTTTGTGAAACCTGCTAAAGACAACAATAAGAGGAAAACACTGTGATAAACAAGTGAATAGGCTTTGTTTCAAGTAATGAACCATAGAACTGGTTGTAAGAATTGAACAATGTGACATTTGAGATAAAATGAACTAAGAATTGAAGATGACTGATTAAACAGTGTGCCATTGTAATAAAAGGTTGATTCAGTCAGGCCATTCAGATAGATTAATTCATTTATATTAAACACTGTGCCACTGGGTATTAAAAGGTTGATTCATGGAATGAGTTTTTTGGCTGCTCGTCATCTTGTCCAAAACTCATATATTGCATCTCCAAGGCCCAAGCGCTCATGTCAATTTTTGAATCTGTTAGACTTTTGGAGTCTCAACTAACAAGCTTACATAATCCACCCACCTGCCCTTGTTTATATTAAACCAATAAATTGCTTATCACAGCTACCAAATTAGGATATGTTTTGGATTAGTTGCATACCTCGCGCCAATTAATGATATTCTTGTTGATAGCTGCTAAAAACAATTGATTCTTGTTGATCAATGATTAGGCATGAGAGTATCGAGGATGAAATTATATATCTCAACAAAAGCTTTCATAAATTATTATATTTTATCTTCTATTCATTTGTCTTACTTATTATCACAATCATATAATTACAACAATTCAACCTCTTAATTTCAATAGAAATAATTGTGCTTGTTATACCCAATAATAATCTCATAATACTTAGAGACACGTGGCAAACATCCACGGATCTAGTACTCAAGAGTCCTTTTCAAGGATTAGCTTGATGACCAAGCTACTAATGAACACCACCTAGCAACTCTTAACCAAAGAAAATACTAACCAAAAGATAATTAAGGTATCAACCATAATCAAGTTAGTTTTTATCATATAACCTCCACTCATTCTCTCTCATACACACATATTTTTTCTTTTTTTTGCCTCTCTAGTGCTCAAATTCATCTTCTTAAGCTCTCCAATCACTCACACACAGATTTCTTCCATATAACCATATCTTACACTTTATTGTTGGAATGTTAAGTCAGAGATCAACTCCTGTGTTTGGCTAAGCTCTAGCACCATCTCTATTTTGTAAATTCCTTACCAGAACATGGAATGGAAGTTTTATTTTATCTTCAATTTCGACTAATTTAGAGAAATTTTATAATGAAAATGATCAAGTAATTTGAGTTTCAAATAAACCTAAAAAAAAAAAAAAAAGTCAAGTATTGAGGAATCTATGGAGAAGATTCCTATAGCTACCAAAATCAAATTCACTACAACGTGGAAGCAAAAGGTTTTTTAGATTAAAGATAAAAATGAAGAAAAATTAGCGATACCTTCCAATTATAAACTGACAAATTAACGGTCCATACAGGAAAAATGGACGGCTCCCAGTAACGAATTTTGACAACAGCTTGTACTAAAACGGTTGCCATTTTGCTCCACTTCCCGGTTTCCAGGATGTCTCGCGACGCCTGTAACAGACAAAACTAAACCATCTCATGTAACTGTCAGTATATTTATCTTCTTCCATTCTTTGCTTAAGTTCACATCCCTTTGTTTGACCAAATATCACAAGAATTTTTCTTTTTTTTTAAATATGATGGGTTTTATCAACAATCGGATTATATTATTCCTGCCGACGTTGTTTAGTGGGACATAAGGACATTATCCATTACACAACATTATCTCCAATATAATGTTACCGATAACGTTTTAGTTTTTGACGTAAATGTTTGAACAACTTAAACTGATTTGCATCTAATAATTTCATCCATAAGTTTGGTTTGAGGGAGAGAAAAAAGGAGTTTTTTAATTAATTAAATTATATTATTTTTAATTAATAAAAGAATTATAATATTTTTAAATATTAAAATTTAATTTATCAAAATATTCATTCATCTCCTCTCTTTTCCTTCTTTTTCCTTTAAATCAAACAAACACTCTTAATTTAGATTAACCTCATTCACACAACAGTTACTGCCACCTGCTACGCAAAGAAAAAAGTAGTAACGATTAATCTATTATAAAATTTGAATGATATTATAGAAATAAATTTTTTATATTATTTTTTTATATAATTTTTATAT